TCATTCCTCCTCTCTTCTCCTTCCCAGTCTTAACTATCCTCCCTTCCTTTACTCTCACATCCGCACCTATCTGTCTGAACACCTCCTCCACCCCCTTCCTTGCACCCCCTCCTGCTCCTTAAAGCCCTTCATCACTACATTATTCCTTCTCTCAAACCTCTCCCTTCTCTCCCTCTCCCTCTCCAAGCTCCTTACCCTCTCCTTCATCTCATCTCCACCCCTACCTCCGCTCACCTTCCCACCCGTTTCTTCCAGTTCCCTAATTCTACCCTCCAGCTCCTCAATTTTCCCCTCTCCCCTCTCCATTCTCTCCCCTTAAACTTTTTTTCCACTTCAACTCTAGCTCTCCTATTCTCTTATTCAATCTTTCCTTTTCTATCCTTCATTCCTCCTCCCTCCTTCTCATATCCTTCAACTCTCTCCTAATACCCTCTAAATTCTTTTCCATCCTATCCCGTCTTCCCTTAAATTCCTCCATTCAGCCTTCGAAGGCCCTCCTAATGTCTCCTTTCCCTTCTCCTCCCTGGGTCCTCACCGGTGATTTTGGGGTCATCTTATTTTTTCGAAAGCACTCCTTCTCTTCCCTGTCCTCTCCTCTCGCTGCTTCTTCCTCCAGCTCCCTTTTCCTTTTCATCAACTCAATTATCCTTTAGGATAAACGAAACTGCACCTAAAAATTCATCTTTGGGAATGTCGCAGTTTTTAGATATCTCCCTAGCATTTAGCAATACTATCAATTGATAGATCGATAGGAATATTGGTGAACAAGGAGACCACATCGAAAGAAACAACTATAAGTAGATGTGATTATTAGTCAATTGTATGTTAGATAACCCGTTAACAAGTTTAAAACTATTTTCTATATGAGTTGAAGATTTTGGGGTACTTCTTGACAGAAGTTTGTTCAAGAAGGATGCCAGATTATAAAATAGACTATCAATTGACAAAACAATTATTCGAAAGAGGCATCCGTGTTTGTGTATTTTAGGAAGCCCGTAAGCCCCGGAAGAATCCTGTCATACAATAAAGATGCTTGTATAGAGAGAGTAGTTAAAGCTCGTTTGTTTAATTTATGCCTCAGATGTTTCAAGGATCTTTTCGTCCGCTTCTGGCCGAAAGGAGGCGGTAATCTGATTCGGAACACTATAAATAGGGGAAAACGTTACAATCCTTTCTCTTCGGTGCGGGACCGTCGATGTGCTTGCGTTGCCACGGTTGATTATAATGCTTGACGCAGCAATAATAGATTCGAACCTCCAAATCCTCCTTTATATGCTTTGGAAGCTTGTCCTGCACATAGTCGGTATTCGCCGCCGTATTTTGATATATATTGTAATTGCTCAGCGCCGAATATCGGAAGGATACGATAGCGCGAGATACATTTGTGCTACTGAGCAATTCACGCGATTTCACACGCCTGTAAATAGGCTTTCAATTGAAGCCTAGGTAACGTAGTGCAAACATAAAATTCGTAATAGCAGCCACTGACGATATACGTCGTGAACTGCGACGGGAAAGAATAATGGGAGACTCGACAAAGCGTAAGCATGGTGAAATGTTACCGAGTACTATACGCACAATCATTTGTGATCCGTCGAATTGCGGTAATATCTACCCTAATAAAATTAATAATAATTAATAATTTCTAACCTAATAAAATTACCTTTTAAAAAGGTAAAACATAAAGCCAAGTTTACGCGCCCGTTTTCTTATTTATGTAAAAGAAAGAATTTTATAAAAACATTTCCATCTACAAAAATACTTTTTAATAATAAATTTCATATTGGTACTAAAAGATGTGATATGAAGAACTGGCGCCAACTTCTAATTTAATAAAATAAAAAGAACTTTACATTGAAATACATTTTATTTTGTAGTTCATTTTTATTTGAAAAATCGTTTCATTATTTCTACAAAAAACATGATATCAAAAATTGGCACAAACTTTTAATTATATGAAATAGAAAAGAAACTTTGCAAAGGTGAAAAAAGATGTTATCAATCCAAAATTAATGTCAATTTGTAGTTGCCAAAAAAATTTTATTATACTTGTGTTTATATAAAAATACAATATAGAAGAAAATCTGAAGTGTAAGAAAAACAAACGAGCTATTTCAGGCTTGGCTGCTTTGCATATTGGAAAACGATAAACTCCAGATATGCGAGTAAGAGCAGCCTCGCGGATAAAGAGACATAGTGCGAGTTTGGCTCTCTAACATTCCGTTGTACACAATTGATAAGCGGCTGTTTTGGTTCCTCCCTTTACAAAATTGGAAAATCCTCCACACCTATTTGTTATCATTGAAGATATCTACATCCACATATTAAAGGCATCGATCGTCAAACGGTTCAATCGCACGCTTAAGAACGACATGTGGAATAATAATGAATATTGTGTTTTTTTCAAGAGTTTCTGCACATCGGCGTTATAAAATTCCTTCCCCATATTCGTTTGCAAGTTTCTCGGGCATCTTCTGCTCTCTCGAATTATCTTAGCGATAGCGTTAGCCGTCTCCCTTCCGATCTTGTTCTTGAGCGATACGGCCCAGTCATACTTGCTCAACACATCGACGCATGACGGTGAGTATGTAGTGATAATCTCTTTGAAACTCGAGTATGGACGCATATCGACGATGTCAACCTGCCACAGATCGTCGTTTTTCCGAATTATGACACGTCTTTGTGAAAAATTTCTTCTCGCCGGAGCTTGCAATTCCTCAACGAGTCAGCGCCCCTCGAACATTTTTTTCACGTTCATCGGATTTTGATCTCATGTTTTAATGATATTTAATATTAATATGTAAGTAAGATATATATATTATGATTTAAAAATTGTTTTTCTTTTTCTCACTGACGTCAACTTGCTCGTTTCATCGATATGCCATTTAATCTATAATAATATAATGCCGGCTTCGCGAAGTTTCTCGATAATTGACAGCATCTCGTTATTGTGGGCGTTATGACCAGCTCGGCACGAAGCAAGCAATTCGAGTTGATCCAACAACTCGTTGGAATCAACTCAATGCACGTAATTGATCTTTTTGTCATTAAACTTCGTAGTGGGTGGTATATTACTCGCATCTGCATCCTTTTTATCGCGTAACGTTCGATCGATTAGTCGATGTCAAGAACGCGGTTCTCCAACATCATGTCTATTGTAATAGATTCCGAGGAGGTACCAAACGTACGAGATATCAATACGCGACAGGAATATCTTTGATAGACATCAATTCGTCGATTACGAACTGTTAGCTCTAGTTTTTAATATGTATAAAAACAACAGTGCAAAAAAAAGAAAACGTGAATAAAAAGTTTCACACTTAAATCACAATGCAATTTTATTGTCCCTTTGCCTAAACCGAAGCATCGTCATATGTTTGTAACCGATTCGCAATTTATTGACATAGCTAGAGTACACGCGCTTCTTTTAAAAAATAATTATCCGAAAAAAAAAGAAATAGTCATTAAGATTCGTAATAAAAGAGAGACGCAACGAAAGAGAGATAATAGGTATACGTGTACAAGAGAGAGTACAACAAAAAGGAAAAGAGAAGATGATGATAAATATATTATGAGAACATGATGACGGCGATAGCGACGGTGGACGCGGGATCGCGATCCGCGGATCGCACACCCTGTGACGTCATGTCCTCGCCCCGCGGATTACGCACAGCTAGGTCCTCCAAGTCGCAATTTGCTTATAGCAGCCGAATTATCGGCCCTTCACTGTGTCACAATTTGTTCACAGCTTATATCTTATCTAAACATCCCCCCTCCCCACTTCTTTCGGCCACATATTTCAAAGGACCATCGATGAAGCCTTCCCTCTTCCTTTCTCTCCAGCGCCAACGAGTTTCCTTTGCACACTCGCAAACCCCTCGGAACTCCCAGAATAGAACCGGCTTATTACACCTACTCATATTGTGTTATCTTATGTGCCTCTCAAAGTCATAAAACTTTAGTCTGAAACATTTTTTGATTTAACACAATGTTGAGATATTTGAGTGGATCTTTTAAAAATTTTTTATAGCATATACCCTGTATATAGACCAGTCAACCAATATGCCAACTCGACAATAAGTAAAATTTGTGCTATATATGATCACGCATCAAAATATAAGCGTCTATTATTATATATTTTATCTTCATTTTTGTATTTATTAAAGAAATGTATAGTGTTCCGGGATTTAACAGACAAATTGCGGAAGCATGTTCTGCAAGTAAAATAGGAAAGAATAGTATACGAAGTTTGGCAGAAATTTTTTATTACAGAATTATAAACAAATATTGAAACAAAACATTAAATACGCAACAAAAGATTTCCCATTGCGCAAGACATTAATGGAATGATTTAGTAATACATTTCGAAATGCTGTCCTTATACGACAATATTTGATACTGATGTAAGACGAAATTTATTACAATACAATAATACAAATTTTCTGAAAAAGAAAAATGCGTCAAATTAATAATTTAATTACTGACAATACAACAAAATTCACACAAAATTCACAACAAAATTTGTAAATGGTAAATTGATGTTAAACTTGTATTGTTATCATATAGAATTTCTTTCGAGAGATATTTCAATAAATATACTTTTTAAAATATAAAAAATATGTCTATTATTTCTGATTACATTACAATATATCTGAAGCCCATCAAAGTCAATGAGAAATAGTTTCAAATGTTCTCTTAGTAGTACATCAAATATTCTGCCAATATTATTCCGTAAATGTTAATAAATTTATTTAATTTTGCATTTTTTTTGCTTATTTTTGACCTATCCATTTTCATATATATTGCTGTGCAATGAAGTATCTTTTTTCACGTTAAATAATATTTGCTTAATTGAAAAATATTTTTTTAAGTAATCCTTATTTCTATCATATCTATATTCATATTCCATTTATATTGTATTAAATAAAATGACTTAATACAATAAAATTATAACTTCTTTTTCTAAAAATATAAATGTTACGGATAAAATTATTCTTTGTATGAAACAAATGTAAGTCAAACAAATAAAAACATTAAATTTAAAAAGTCCTTTTCTCTGTACATTTAACTGTAGTATTTTTTTAGGAACAGGAATTTAATTGGGATTCGAAAATACAAGGATTTGTTTTGAGCTCCTTTTTTTATGGATACCTTAGCACACAATTATTAGGAGGATGGCTAGCTGCTCGCATCGGTGGAAAGAGAGTTTTTGGAATAGGAATTGCGGCGACAGCGTTTTTTACTATCATTACACCACCTCTTGCCAAAATAAACGTTTATATTCTCATTACATTACGTGTAATCGAGGGTATCTGCGAGGTAAAATTATTTTTTAACTGATAATAAATTAATATATGTTGTAAAATAGCTGTGCAACAATTATTTCTTTATAAAATAAATACTATAACTTGAATTTATAGATTTTTTTTAAATAGTTTCATGATAATTATTAACTTAATAATTATTAATATATTAATATATTTTAGAAACATAAGTTATTTAGATTACAAGACATTACAAACATTAATAAACATTATAATTACTTTAACGAAATCTTTTCGTTAAAATCAAATATTTTTCAAGATTTTAAAAGAATTATATTAAAGGATCGTCAATTCCGTCATAATATTTTGTTTTTGGAATACATTCCTTAAACAAAAATTTAATATGAAACTTTAGAAACATAAAAACAAAATAGAAAGCATTTTATTAGATAATATAGCAGTTTTTATTGTTTTGTACTTTGCAATAACGCAGTACCACAAAGTAAAAAAAATATTTTGTTCCGGAGAAGGAAGACCAACTGTTTTCTATATATTTTGATGTGCTGAAACCGTGCAGAATTCGTTTCTCAAAGATTCGTATCATGCTACATTTATAAAATACATACATAATACGTGGTAAAAGAGTTCAAAATCACATAATTCACATCGTAAATTAAAATAATGCAAATTATAAATTCTTATCTACATAGAATCGTAGCTATATACAATAACCATAAACCTGTGATGGCACCACTGCCATCTAACGCTTGTGCAAGCCCCACGCAGCGTACACCACTGCCTAATGCACTCGCGAATTCCCCGCTGCGCACTGTCCCATCTACGTGGGTGGTCTCGATACCTGCCGCTAGGCGCCGTCCGGCCGAAGTCAATTGTTTTCATGCAAATAGATTTCGACCGGACAATGTGTAAAAAGGGGAGCACGCGACTCCTGAGACACATTCGGTGCTCATCGAGGCAAGTGTGCAAACGCTATCGCTCAGATGCAAGCCAAATGCTCGTTGAGCCAACGACAAACAAGTCAATGCTCCGAGACTTTCTCAACCGCATAGGCCGCATTTCGGCCGCATCTCGATTACACGGGCCGCATCTCGGCCGCACGAGTCGTATCTCGGCCGCATCTCCGCCGTACAGGCCGTCGGCTGAAAAAGCCGCATCACAACCGCATAAATCGTACCTCGATTGCACAGGCTGTCGGCTGCAGAAGCCGCATTGTGAACGCACGTGTCGCATCTCGACAGCACCTCGGCTGCGGAAGCCGTCGGCTGAATAAGCCGCACCCAGACCGCATACGTCATATCCAGGCCGCACAAGTCATCTCTCCACCGAAGTCAACTCCTCCGAATAAACTTCCCTCCTTGGACCATTACACACTGTCAACGCATCTTTGTAAATACACACTTCTTACGCGAAACTCAGTACATACTCAGTACAGAGCCGTAACTTTAATACAATGACTTAATTTCGTTAACTCGCGTCATTCCGATAAACTACACAGCGCGTTTAACTCAGCGCATACGCAATAAATTTCGCAGCATTCAAGTCTTTTAAATATTTATTGTTAATTAATCAATTTTGTTATTAATTAATTTATCTTTGTTAATAGAAAATTGATAAAACAAGCGTTGAGCGTTTCGTTCCACAACCTTTATCACTACACATCTTTATCCTAAATTACAGGGTTGATAAAAAACTTGTTTTTTTATTTTAAACAAAAACGATTTTTTTGTTTAGGACATGTTTTTTTTGTTTTAAACATGTTTTTAAGTAAAGTAAGAAAAAAACATGTTTTAAACAAAAAAACATGTTTTAAACAAGCAAAAAAACACTTGATAGCTTTGATCTATGTAAACATTTAAATTTTTCGCTAAAGTTAAATGTACCTATATACCGTAACTATAAACCGTAACTGTAATCGTAATGTAATGTTTGACCACTTGCGTCGCTTGATTCGACGTATGGCGCATGGGTTACTGACTTTTTATCGCTGTGAGCGTGCAAAATGTAAACAAAACAAGTTGATTCAATTTACAGTTTACAATTTACAGAGTATTTATATACTAATAATACTGCAACTCAACACAAAATATGTAAGTATAAATGACAATAATGCAAGTATGTTATTGTTGTTAGGTTGTTAGAGTTCTCAGTTGTGTTAGTGTTTTCAGTTCTATAATTCATTATAAAATTATAAATGTAAATGATAATAAATTATCTTAATAAAGTAAATTATCTTAACGTCGACTCAAATGGCCAATTTATTGAGAAATTAATAAATACACAACGTTTCGATCCTAGATTCGAGTCTTTTTCAAGTGAAATCTAAAACAAATAAATGATAAATACTAGTTGACTATTTTCAATAATTTACTTATATTCTTGATTCTTTTTGTCAGCTTTTAACAAGTTCAGTTTTTAGATTTTGCAAATATAAAAAAAATGACAGGAAGGAAGAAAGATCCAACATGGTATAATTTCATTGAAATTAAAGAAGAAAATAGACCTGTCAAAAGCAAAAATGTAAAAAATGTAATAAAATTATGGTAGCATTGGTCGCCAGAATGAAGAAACACGTAAAAACATGTAACACCACATTAATTAATGTTGATGTTGATGAGGATAGTACTTCTGACAGCAGCAGCATCCGTTCGCGGTCCCCGTCTTGCATAAGTTAGTATGTAATATAACATATTCTATTTTCTATTTAGTAATTAATTAGTATTAAAGCATTTTTTTTAACATTGACTATCTAATACTACCTATCTAGAATAATTTTCACGTATCTTTTAACTTTTCTTTTGATTTTTTTATTTTAATTGAGTTTTGAATTTCTTTTTTACAGCGGCAGATACTTTACCATCATCATCATCATCAACATCAAAATGTACAAAATCCATATCCATGCTAACAGAATCCAAATTGAGGTCAACGAATACGAACATAGAATCTTTTGTTATTAAAACATCAATTGCAAACAGAAAAAATTTGACATACAAGTAGCTAAATTTATTTACGCCACAAACTCGGCCTTTAGACATGTTGAACATCCAGAGTTTATAAAATTAATATACTTATTGCATCTTGGCTATAAACCGCCTTCAAGACATCAAATCGCAAATGAGCTATTAAATGAAGTTTTTGACTCAGAGTTGATAAAAGTAAAAAATTATGTACATGGAAAGAATGTATGTATAGCTCAAGATGAGTGGAGTAACATTCACAATGATTCTGTTTTATGTATATCAGTGACTGATATCATTGACGAAACTGTGCATTTATGCGATACTATTGATACCGAAGGTAACAGCCATACAGCAGAGTACTTGCTAAATTTGGCAGTAATTTCAATCAAAAGTTGTCAAAAACATGGTTGTAGAGTTAGAAGCTTTGTGACTGATAATGCAGCGAACATGCGTAAAATGAGAGAACAATTGGCAAATGTGAAGAACTTGGCATGCCTGATATTATTACTTATGGATGCTCCGCACATATTTTAAATCTTCTTGCGCACAACATTGAAATTCCAGAAATCAAAGAACAAGTTAAAACAATTATGAAATATTTTCGAAACACGCATTTTGCTGCTGCTAAGTATAAAGAAGCAGGTGGAAAAGCTTTAATAATGCCACAAGATGTTCGATGGAATACTTTGACCGATTGTCTGGAATCATATATTAATAACTGGCATATTTTGTCTAAAGTTTGCACTGATAATCGAGTAGCAATTAGTCCGGATATTTCATCCAAAATTAACGATGTGAATTTAAAAGTGAAAGCAACGGACTATTTGGAAAAACTAAAAATAATTTCAGTCGCATTAGACAAAATTCAACGAGATTGCTGTACAATTGGTGAAGCCACAGAAATTTGGATCAAAATAATAAATCATTTTAAACTTCAATATAATTTTTCAGAATCTGATCTTAAATGTGTTCTGCAGCGTTTCAAAATGGCAATGACGCCTGCACATTATTTAGCAAATTTGCTAGATCATCGATTTAGAGAACTTCAGTTAAGGGAAGAACAATTAGATGAAGCAATGGAATATATCAATTTGTATCACCCTGCAGCCATGCCTGACGTAATATCTTATCGAGCAAAAACTTCTCCATTCAAGTATTATCTTTTTTCTGAAGAATCCATTAAAAATGTTAAGCCAATAACGTGGTGGCTTGCGTTAAAAGAAAATATTAATACTGTAACGTTTGATTTAGCAATACAACTTCATACAGCAATTGCTTCTTCTGCTGGTATAGAAAGGCTGTTTTCAGCTTTTGGTTTAGTGCACACAAAATTGAGAAACAGATTAGGCGTAGAAAAAGCTTCAAAATTAGTGATAATTTTAAAAGCACTCAATAAAAAGGTTGATAAAACTGAGATTGAAACTAGTAACTAGTAACTGAGGCTATTATATTATATTCTTTATTAATGTATTACATTATATTATTATATATTCTTTTATTCTTTATTACTTTATCTTATTTTGAGTTTTTGAGTTATTAATTTTAAAAACTTATTTAATTTTAAATTTTAATTAAATTAAATTAATTTAAAAGTAAAGTATTATAAAGGCATTATAAAAATACCCAATATGTAATGACAGAAATGCAATTCCAATATGTATTGTTACCATTTATTTGTCGTTTTCGTACTTAAATGTTTATTTTTTTTCTTTAATTAAAGAAATGATATTTTTAATTTTTGTTATTTGTAATTTGTAATAGATAATATAAAAGGTCAAATGCAATATCTTATAATTTAGTTTTCTTTACAGTTTATGTATAGATTATGTTCAGTGATATCTATATGTATAGATAACATATAAATTATAATTAAAAATATTACAAATATATAATATATACATAAAAAACTAAAAATACTAAAACAAAAACCTTATTGCAACATTCACGTCTATTAATTTTTGTTTGTTTTTATTTTTCTTTACAGTTTTTTTTCCAAATAATTGAAATAATTATGTTTTAATTGCAATGTTTAAAACAGTTTTAAACAACCATTTAAAATTGTTTAAAACAAAAATGTTTAAAACAGTGTCCACTGTTTAAAACAAGTTTTAATCAAAGTGTTTTAAATTATATTGTTTAAAACATGACAACCCTGCTAAATTATCAGGTTGTAATAATCATATAATTAACTAGAGCCTCTCTAAGTCTTCGGTGATTAGCATGAATTTCATTAAAGCTTCAGCGGCAACGCCAAAGCAATCAAACTTCGAAAAATCAACTAAATTAATTTCCTTGAACCCTCAACTCATAAATTCTAAATCCATACATCCCAAATCCAAAATTTATAAATTTTAATATCAAAAATAAGTTAAAAGTAAGTTAAAAGCCATGATTAAACTGAAACTCATGACCATTTTCATTAAATTTTGATTACGCCTTTTCAAAGAGTTATTACAAATATCTCACAAATCAAAATTTATCCATAGCAGTTTTTTATTTGTTTTAACTACTAATTTGTAATGAACGTTACTTGAGTTTTGGTTCTTACTATTTTTTAGCGAAATTTTATTCCCCAAGTTTCCCATCAGTCATTATACTAATTACAATATGCAATAAATTGTATTCTGTCATTTTCAAACAGTTATTCTCACGATTTTATCTCTCGAGCAAAAATTGCTTGTATGTAATTTTCTATCAGTCGTTTTAATAACTATGACTCATAATAAATTGTGTTCCGTTATTTCGAAACTGTCGTTCTCATAGACGACTATTTCTTGGGCGAAAATCAATTGTACTTCTCGGTGCAACAAGGAAAAATTTGAGATTCGGTCCGTCTAGAGGATTGGAACTCACGAGAAGCGCTGGTAGGAGTACACGAAAAACTTGCAGTAACATTCACTATTCTTGTAAATGCCCTTTATTTTCCCGTTATTACAAATTATTCCTCTCATAATAATTATAACTTCTCGTAGATAATACCTAATAAAATTACCTTTTAAAAAAGATAAAAAATAACGCCAAGTTCACGCGCCCGTTTTCTTATTTATATAAAAGAAAGAATTTTATACAAAAATTTCCATCTACAAAAAATCTTTTTAATAATAAATTTTAAATATATTGGTATAAAAAGTGTGATATGAAGAACTGGCGTCAATTTCTAATTTAATAAAAAGAGCTTTACATTGAAAAGAGCTTTACATTTTATTTTATAGTTCATTTTTATTTGAAAAATCATTTCATTATTTCTACATTTCTACTATTTCTAAAAAACATGATATAAAAAATTCGCACAGACTTTTAATTATATGAAGTAGAAAAGAAACTTTGCAAAGATGAAAAAAGATGTTATCAATCCAAAATTAATGTCAATTTGTAGTTGCCAACAAAATTTTATTGACTTATTGTGTTTATATAAAAATAAAATATAAAAGAAAATTTGATGTGTAAGAAAAAAAAGTATTAAATATAATACTCTTATATTTATATATTTTCAAATTTAATTATATAGATTATAATTTATTACATACAATATTTGAAGTTAGTTACATATTATACTTATATAAGTATACAGGGTAATTCAGAACAACCGTTTGTCCTTAAAATGTCATATTCCTGAGTCAATTCTAGGATGATTTTTCCTCTACCAAATTTTTATCAGAAGCTTAGTTTTGTTGCACCGCTCCTACCTATCTTCTGTTCGCAGCCCGTAATTCGCAAACTGTTTTCCCTTATTATTATTCAAAAACTAAGCTTCTGATAAAAATTTGATAGAGAAAAAATCGTTTTAAAATCGTTTCAGGAATATCACATTTTAAGGACAAATGATTGTTTTGAATCACCCTGTATCTATAATATACAGGGTGTCTCGTAGCATGTGTAACATCGTTCGTCAGAAGGTAGACGGAAGCGAAA